TTTGCGTTTACTTTGAAGTACCAGATTACAGGTTTCACCTGCTTTGTGTGTAAGCGTTGTCTGAAAAGGAGGTGTTCGCCTATGTTTTCCCCTTGGGATAACGTGTGAAATTGGACTAGATGCTTTCTGATGCCCACTATGTGAAGTTAGTTTTCTCAGAGTTTCTGAAGTGACCATGGTTTCTTCAAACAACCCTAAATATATGGCAGTTCCCCTCCCGAGCTCTCCTGGCAGTGTCCGCTGCCTGAGCTCTACCTCAGTCTAAAACTTCCTTTCTTCCTGTTGATGCTGTCCCGTGAAATGTGTATCCCGTGCTCCTGGTGTCTCTTGTGGGTGGCGCTTTGAATGAGATGTCTCCGCCTTCGCAGGCATCTGAATCCTCGGGTCTCAGTTGGATCTCTCTATGGGCAGGTTTAGGAGGTGTGGCCTTAATAGAGGAAATATACCACTTGGAGGCCTGCTTCGAGGTTTTAAAAAGGCATTTCCGGTATGCCCTCACCCCCCTCTCCTGTGTTTGGTGAAGATGTGAGCCCCGGCTCTCAGCTTCCAGCTCCCACCAAGTGTCTGCCGCCTCTTGTCATTCCGTTCTCATCAGATGGACCCTCTGGAGTCATAAACCCCAAGTAAGGGCTTCCATTGGCCATGGTGTCCTGTCACAGCAACAGAAAAATAGCTAAGGCAGGGCGGGAGCAGTCCTCAGAAAAGTCTGAAAATCTTAGTTAATTCACTTCCTTTAACTGTGGAGGTCCTTCCTCACCCCCCTGGAGAGCGGGGCACCCCTGCTGTGTTTCAGCTGTGGGCTTGAAGGGATATTTGAACACCTGGTTTTCTTGCAAATTTTTTAATCTGGTTTTGATTTCACTATTTGGCTCCTAGTTTTTTTTTTTTTTTTTTTTGGTTTTTTTTTGATGCTTCCGTATATGGCTGTGATGAATCTGAATAGTTTTCACCCTCCCCTCCCCTCTGCCCCTCCCCCTTTCCCCACGGAAGCCTTTCTTCTTCCTAATAAGACCGGTTCCTGCCTCCGCATGTACTGGGTGTGTGTGGCCCACTGCGTGTAATTAGAGCCGCCTGTGTGAGCGCAGCTATAGTTAAGGCTGCCGTGTATTTTCACGCAGAGGCCGTGGGAGATCCAAAACTTACTTTGGGACTTGGAGTGGGGAGGGGTTAGCACAGAGATTGAGCACTGCCGAGCATGTGAGCCTGAGATTTTTATCCCCAGCACCTCCAAAGAAAAACAAAAATAAAACCCATGTTGACATTCCACCGGGAGGAGTTATCTGCCCAGTTACAGCGTAGTTTAAATCAGCATCAAATTATCAAAATAATAAGAAGAGCATAAGAGAAGTCACAGCAGTAAATGTTTGAACCCAGAGTGATTCAGGGCAAAAGAATGTATTATTTTGTATTTACATGACATGGAATAATAACCAAAAAGGAGCCAGCAAGCCTCCTTCAAAATGCTCAGTGGCTAAGGGCATGAGCTGCACAACAGAGACCCAAGCTCAGTCTTTCTTGGCGATACAGAAAGAAAGGCAATTGGCTAGGACTCTCTCAGACCAGAGCACCGCTCGACTCCAGAGAAGCCTCTTGTTGCGGGAGATGATAATCAACACAGAGACCCACTCCGGATCAGTCAATCCTAAAGGAGATGTTTTCATAAAGCCTGTCCTCTCAAGGCTCAGGTATCTATGTTGAAGAGAAGGCTGAAAAAACGGTAAGAGCCATAGGTGGGAGATGAATACAAAGAAACAGCACCTTCAGACACAACAGCCCTGGTGTACATATGAACATACAAACACCGGGACCGCACACACAAGACCCGCACAGCTTCCAACGGGACAGAGAAGGGGAGGGTGGACACAAAGGCCTGCCCCAGCCAAGGAACCGTTTGCCATGATACCTGCTGGGAAAGGGAAATTTTCTGCAATGGAGCATCCCTGGGCATATCAACCACATTCCAGGGCAGGTCCCAGGTCCAGGAGTTGTTGACCAACACAAAATGAGCTCTGTTTTCATGTGCTTCCTTTTACATGTTTGTATTTGTTGTCTTATTTTTTGTTTGTTTATTTTGATTTTCATTTTTTTGCGGTATTTTGAGAGAGATAAAAATCATAAAGTTGGATGGGTAGGGAGGTGGGGAGGAGGGACTTGGGAGAAGTTGAAGGAGAAAAAAGAATATAATGAGAATATATTATATAAAAAAATCTTTAAATAAAAATATGGAAAAAGAACCAACCCCACAAAGTCTTTCAACTTCCCACACAGGTACTGTGGCTTATCCCACCTCTCTCATAGAGTGCACATGTGTACCAATAATGTAAAACATAAATAGTAAATAAATAATCCTAAAAGCAAAATATTCACAGAGTTTGCTGGAGTATAGTTATTTTGTTTCAGTGTGAAGCCATGAAATGCATTTTTGCAGTTACTCACAGATTTTCCTCCGCGGGTTTGAATAGAGCTTGCTTCTCCTTTCTCGTGGTGGTGTAGCCTCCTTCGCCCTTTCTACATACATTTTCTCCTCCCGCCTTTCTAAGAGACACAAGCACTGGCTAGAGGAAGAGGAAATGCTCTTGGTAAGGCGATGCCCCCCAGAGAGCCGGTGTCCAGTGAGCTCCTGAAAACGTCCATGAGTCGGGCTCTAAGACTAATTTTAATTTCCAACACTTAACCTCAGCTTTTTCAAGAAAGGAGCGGCTGACGGCAAGTTCCACTCCCGTTCGTCTTAAAAAGGGAAATAGCATCCATTCTGTTGTTCAGTAAAGACAATTATTGAGCCCTCACTTTGTGCTGTGGGCAGGGCATACAGGAGTGATGCAATAGCCTGAGGGATATGTAGTCTTGGGATGTGCCGGCTTTGGCAGAGATGCCAATTCTGACATTAGTACAGAGCAGAGCCATGCCTATAGGGATGTGCTTGTAACAAAAACACATGTTTAGGATTACATCAGTGTCGTTCTCAAAAAAAAAATCTCCCCAAAGACATTACACCCTTGAAACCATGCCAGTTCCCAAGGCTCGCTGTGACCAGCTGTAGCTTGAACCCTGGCAAGCCTGTTTGCCGCTGTTCCCTCTGGGTTTTAAGTGGAAGCCAACTTACAGTGGGGTCTTGTCAGGAACTAGAGAGCCAAGCAGTGAGGCTTATTTCAGATTAAGTTATGATTAACGTACTTCAGGCGCACTTGCTGTATAAAGTACATGCTGCAACACACCTTAAATAATGGTTTTTATGTCAAATAAATAACCACTTGCTAAGTTTTGTGTAGTAAAGGAAGAACTTTATATCCAGGCACTTCAAGTACGGGGATGCAGTATCTGAATGGTTGCTAAGCAGGTCGCATTCCATTGGGGGATCTGATTATAAACACCTGTAGTGACTATAAAACAGCATGTATACTCTTTTTTCCTTTTTTTCTTTCTTTTTCCTTTTTCTTTTCTTTTTTTTATTGTCTTGTGCTTTTCCAGGTTCCTTTTAATAAAAAATAATAAACCTTTTAGATGAAAAAAATGTGTCTTTTATATTCTTGTATTACCACCCAGTGTTCCCTAAGTCTTTATATTGATCATGATGAGGGTGGAATACAGAAGGAACCCTCGATTTTTACTGTCTTCAAGCCATGCTTCATTATGGTTGAATGTTTGTTCAGTTACTTTATGTGAAAAGATAAAAGCCAACTCCACCTGAATGCCCTTCAGAAGTTTACAATCTCATAAGGAAGTTCTTAAAAAGTCAAGGCCCGACATGATAGCACACACCTGCTTTCCTAGTACGAGAGGCAGAGGCAGGGGGATCACTGCAAACCTGGTCTGTGTAATGAGTTCCAAGCCAGCTAGAATCAGACAGCAAGAACTCGTCTCAAACAAGCATAAAACACGTGATCAAGGAATGAAACTAAAATCTCTCTCTCTCTCTCTCTCTCTCTCTCTCTCTCTCTCTCTCACACACACACACACACACACACACACACACACCCCTTGCCTATCAATGCCTGAGGCAGGTGGATGAGCTGGCCCTGAGGTCAGAAGGGTGAGAGAGCTGCTCCTGCCTGCCACCAGGGGTAACACTCGGGAGAGCAGGCCCTGCACCTGGCTGGGCAGCACAAGGGAGCCAATCCCATTGGCAGAGGTGTGGGCGAGTCAGCCCCAATATGTGAGCATGGAAGAGTGTCCCCATTACTCACCTGTCATGTGGCAACATGGGCAGGAGAGAGATGTGTGCCGTTCCCCCCCCCCCCAATCAATGCCTGAGGCAGGTGGGAGAGCTGGCCCTGAGGTCATAAGAGCTGGAGAGCTATCCCTTGCCTCTTCATCTGCTGTAGCACGGAGGAGAATGGCCCCTACACCTTGTCTGGGCTAAGCAGTAGAGCTGACCTTGAGGACAGAAGGCAGAAGAACTGTCCTGCCCCTTGCTCATCTCTGCAATGGTCATCCAGGCAATGCAGGAGAACTCACCCCGGTGGGGAGGACAAGGGAGAGCTGGCAGGCTGACCAACCCTAGCCAGGCCCAGAATCAGGGTTATGAGTTGGCCCACCTCAATATTCACCCCATATATGATCTGCTGGGGCACATGAAGGGTTTAATCCCTAGTACAGATGGGCATGGAGGCACACGCCTATAATCCTAGCATTGAGAGATGATGGTAGGAGGGTCAGAAGTTCAGGGTCATTTTTTACTACTTAGTGTATTTGAAACCAGGCCACATGCATTAAATCCTGTATCTGAATAAATAAAAAGTAAAATTACAAATTAAAGATATTGTTATTGGTCAAATAAAATTTCCCTATTAAATTTTAGTGTCTGAAAAGTATTTGGCTTGTTTATAAAATTTGCTTTAATCTTTCACTAAAGAGCTATCGATTGTTTTTATGTCTGTCCGCCCTGTTCCCCCTTTCCTCTCATGTATCTGGAAATCTCTAGTAAGGAGGAAATGATGATGGCAATTTTGCTCATCTGACATCTTCTTCCCATTAATTTTCTGATCATGTATCTTGCCTAGGAAAGAGAGTCTTTCCAAAGACGGCACGAGACAGCCCGGCAAGCGCTCATGGGAAAGACGCCCCGTGGTCACACGCTCCTGTTTCAAAGGTAGTGATCTCTCACACCGGCTGATGCCTGAGTGATCTCAGATGACGTTCCAGTGTCTACATGTACCAAACGAACCCTCAATCATCCATACAGGCAGAGATCGCTGCACCCAAACGGACACTCGTGGTTCAGTACCAAACTGTTTCTGAAAGTTGGAGATCTTCATTTATATATTATTCTTTTAAGAGGCACTCTATGCCTATAACTGCTAGAACTGATGGGGTTTTTTTTTTGTCTGACTGAAAACAAAATGGCATTTCTAGTAGTGTTTGAATGTACGTATCCACCAGTAGCAAGGCTGTTCATGACTGAAGGTTAATAGCATCCTGTTGAGTTCCCTGTCACCACTGTCCAAACAATGGTAATTGTTTGTGGGGTCATAAATCCCAGAAGTGTGAGGACCATGGTGTCTTTATTAATCCATGAATTTTTGGTCCTGGGTATAAACTGTTCATGCCTGTCACATAGCGAGAGCATCATGGAGATTATGGACTGTGACAGTTATTGTTCTATTAATGACTATGTATGAAAAGGTTTAGGTTTTACTCAAAATAACCAGATAATGGGATAGTTACATATCTCTTGTTATTTTCTCATTAATGTCAAGGGTTTCAATGTTCTGAATTCTCCTTTCTATGTGACCTTTTAGAATATTTGAGTAATGACCATGTCTTAGCCTTTTGGCTGAAATCAGGTGTAGAATATTTGAGTAATGAAGTGGAGAAAGTCCCAGGTTTTATAAAATTGCTAAGATCAATAACCAAATCTCAGAAACAGCATTCAAAAGTGCTTTTTAATAAGCTAAGAATGCAAAGACCCAGGAAGCTGAACCTTAAAAGCCATTTGAAGTTTTCTCTGTGTTGCCTCTTTTGTCCGTGATACGTGTTGGGAATCTTTACTCAGTAGAGACGAAATTAAATTTTTGTCAATTTGCTATAACATCAATGAAAGTAAATTAATTTTCCCCACATTAGGTTATCTTTGAATGGTCCAATTCAAAACACAAGGCTGTGTGATATATATAAAGTGTGCTGGAGGGTTGGGCAGGTGGTAGCTAGAAGATACTGTCTCCCCCACCCCTGCATCTGAAGCCACCGCCTCCGTGAGCACTGGCAGCAGATAGCATGCATCTCCTTCACAGCCATGATCAGAGGACCTAAGCAGTTTTAAATACGAACTCCACATGGACCATCACAGCAGATGGATGCTGGGAACATACGTGCATTTCAGTGGAAGGTGGTCGCTGTGTACACAGCATCTCTAGCAAGGCTGAGGTGAATGCCGCAGGTTTATGCCTAGTTAATGATTATTTTTCTTGCAAGGCAATCTGAGGGAGCAGGCATAGCAATCTGACACATTTGAGAATAGATGAAAGATAATATTTCATAACTAGTATTTAATTCAGAATATAATATTAGAATTTTCAGAAATGTTTTACATGGGGACCGTTTCAAAGAATTCAATTATAACTGAAATAGGGAAATACCTATTTCAGTTTTTCTAGCAATTAGTATATTGCTATTTGGTTAGGCCTAGATGGACTAGGGTTATAATGGAGTGCACATGATTTGCCAGTATCAATGGTTTAATGGATAAGCAATGTTTCCAACAATATCTGTGTGTTTCACCTTCAAGTTAGGCTGCAAAGGGCAAGTTCCGAACTGAGTGATTCCAAGTGGATTCTACTGACATTTGTAGTTCTGTGGATGCAGTGGTCAGTATTTAGGTTTTGCATGTGTGTATACTCCATGGCACTATAGAATTGTTTCTGCTTTCAGGGGCCCAGTACCAATACCTACTGTCAGTGGCCTACAGTATTTTACAACATTAGAGGAATTACAGACAAGTTTTGAGTTCAATGAAGATCATGATAAAACTCCCTTTGGACCATACCCTGAAATAAGGTCAGTTGGGTTGAAACAGTTATTTTCTGCAGGTTTTTTTTTTTTAAATCGCGATTTTTATCTGTAAGCTTCAGAGAAATTCTGAAACGGTGCTGCAGGTCCGCCTGTCACTGTGATGCGCGAGGAGCAGACCTGCAGCGAGACGTGGAGCAGTATGAGGGAGGGGCACAGTAAGGCAGAGCAGGTGGAGATATTGCATCCAGCAGCGGATAAAACAAGAACACGGCAGTGCCACAAGTGTCCCTTCTGGTAGAGCGGAGGGGTATAGCCTCGTCCTGCGGTGACTCAGCGGTGACCTGGACTCCTGGCTTAGCCTTGTCCCTGTTCACCGCCTCTCGGTTCTCTCAGTTTCTCATTCCAAGGTCATCCAGTAGCTTTTCAATAACAGCCTCTTTAATGTGGAAGTGAGCCAGCTTGGTGCCTGTAATTTGCAACCAACGTCTCTAACTAATGCGCCATCGACGGACTGCTGACATTTAAAAGGCCATTTCAAGGTCCTAATGTTCTGATATTTCAAAAGGCGGTACAAATGCTGCATACAACAGGTTGCTTAAAATTTTATTTCGAGAGGGCCGGGGAGGTGACCTAGTGGGTAAAGTGCTTGCCACACAAGCATGAGGACCTGAATTTGGACCCCCAGCCCCCAAAACTGGGCACAGCAGTGCACATCTGTAATCCCACAACCCAGAAGACACAGTCAAAAGGATCCTTGGGCTCTGTGGGCCAGACAGTCTTGCTGAATAAATTTGGTGAGAGACTCTGTCCAAAATAAAGGTGAGGAATAATTGAAAAAGACATCTAGTGGCAACATCAACCTCTGACCCCCACACGCACACACATCAGCACACAGACACATAGACATAGATGCAGACATGCAAGCATGTGTGCGCAAAACACACACTTTTTTTTTTTAAAGAAATTTAAATGCCATTAGGGGCTGGCAAGGTGGCTTAGCAGGGAAAGCGCTTGTGCAAGCCCGATGGCCTGAGTTTGAGCCTCAGAATCCACAGAGAGATGAAACATGAAGAACAGCTCCATGGAGCTGCCCTCCGACCTCCACAGACGCTCTGTGGCTCACACGCGCGCACATGTGCTCTCTCTCACACGCACTGAGAAATGAATTTGACAGTTACTGAAATGTTGTTGGAGTTCTGAAAAATATCGACGAGGAGGCAAAAGCTGTTGTGACTACTTATGCACATTTAAGATTAATAAAAAGTTTGCACAATGTGAGTTGGAAAAAAAACACCAGAGACCTTAACAAATAAGAGAGCAGAAGTTATGCCGTGTTTACAGAGGGCTAATAAATACGTAAGAGGAACACTGTTCAATCTTGCTTGTAATTGGAAAGCAGTTTCGAGTAATGGAGCACTCCCTGCTTGGTGAGTTAACAAAGCCTCTTACTAATTATTTTTTAAGGCAGAGCAGAGAAAGATGCTGTGAGAGGGTCTAGATTTTGTTGGGGGAAAAATCCACAGCGTTTTGGAAATCAGCTTGAAACGGTCTTAGTTTTGCTCTTTGTTCCTGTGGTAGTAACACACAGACATGAAGCAACTTGGGAAGGAAAGGACTTATTTCAGCCTCCACATCCAGGTGACAGTCCTTGGCTGAAGGAAGTCAGGGCAAGAACATGGACGCAGAAGCTGAAGTAGAAGCCATGGAGGGGTACAGCTTATAAGCTTGCTCCCCATGGCTGGCTGAGCTTGCTTTTTTTTATACAATCTAGGATCACCAACCCAAGGAAGGCCCTCCCCTTGGCCAGCAGGGGCTTCCCACATCAATCATTGATGGAGGAGGGTCTATGTGTTACTTTCATTGGTTAATAAAGAAACTGCCTTGGCCCTGATAGGACAGAAAATTAGGTAGGCGGAGTAGACAGAACAGAATGCTGGGAGAAAGAAGCAGATTCAAGCAGATGCCATGCCTCTCTTCTCCAAGATGGACGCAGGTTAAGATCCTTCCTGGTAAAACACCACCTCGTGGTGCTACACAGATTATTAGAAATGGGTTAAGCAAGATGTGAGAATTAGCCAGTAAGAGACTAGAGCCAAGCAGTGTTTAAAAAAATACAATTTGTGTGTTGTTATTTTGGGTATAAAGCTAGCAATGCAGGAGCTGGGCAGCGGGAAATGGCCCGCTGCTCCTCACTAAAGAGTGGAATCAAATGCCCCCATAGACATGCCCCATACCAATCTGATGGAGACAAATTGTGGTTCCCTCTTCATGGGTGACTCCATGTGGCAAACTGACCAGTAGAGATTACTTAGATCAGAAGTCTAAAAATTGTGTTTACTATGGGGCCACTTATTTTACTAGTGGGAATTGATAGTGTCTTGGTCTATTGAGGCTGCCATAGCAAAACACTATGGGTCGATATTATATAAAAACATAATAAATGTATTTCTCATACCCACATACCCACATGAACATACATGCATGTGTGCAGACGACACACATACATACACATACTCATACGAATACAAAAACCACACTTGTTTCTGGACTCCTAGCCATAGGATCTATGCTTGCTTGTTTTCTACACCACAGTTATGGTCCATGCTTTTCTCTTCATGTCCTGCATTGGGTTTGCACAACGGATAAGAAGGTTTTGCCATTGCATGCAGTACTTAGCCACGTCACCTGCTGCAGACACTGTTTAGAACTAGGTCAGTGGAGGCACGTTTGTAAATTACTGACCTGACCTGACAAACGTAACCCATAAAGCCATGGGTGTAAATTCTATGACTATTAGGAGATTTGAATCTCAAGACCATTTTCATTTTTCATGTTTTCTGTAGCAAGGATCCCCATAGTTCTATGAAGTATTCTCAGTTATTTCATGCTTGTCCGTGGTCCAAAGATGTTCCTTATGTCCAGCTCCCAGAGGGAGGGGTTTCTTCACGCCCAGGATCAGCAACAAGCGACGAAGTGGATGGGCCCTTAAAAGGTACGCATTGTTCTATGTGAGGTGTCTGTACTTACTGCCATAATCACGCATCCCCTCTTCTGCCCCTTCCCAGTGATTAGAGGGTCAATGACTGTGTCAAGTCAGAGGTGCCCCACTGTAAGAGATGAGGGACAGAGCTCTGAATGGTTAGTCACTTAGCAACTCAGAGTAGAAGCCACGATGATGGTTACTGGGGTCTAGGCCACAAGCTCTCGGGGGTGGGAGTGGTGGTTCTGAGGTGACTCCACCTAGTGAAAGTGGAGGAAGGCACAGAGGGTTTCAAATCGCTGTCCAGACTCCTGAGGAGGAGGGGTGGACGGGCGGAATTTTGACAGGTTTAGTGTTGAAGGATCCTGCCCATTCTTCCCCTGAACTCTCTTTCTTACTCCGGAGCACACATGCGAATGCGTGTGTCTGTGCAGAGACAGAGTGGTCACTGCACTTTTCCCCAAAGGCTGCGTGGCCGTGTTCACGAGTAACGCTGAGTGGAGAAGCTCTTAAGCAACATGAGAAACTGAAGGGCTACAGGTCAAAACGGGAAGGCCCCAAAGTCAGGATGGAAAGGGGCACTTTCCCAGTCACTGGTAGAGGGATGCTTTAGTTGGCAGAATTCCCCAGAACCTGGAGGATAGGAAGAAAGGAACTATGCCCAGCCCCAGGAGATGTTCTTCCTGGGAACAGGAAGAGAATGCTCTGGCCAAACCCCTACTCATGAGTGACTAGAGGATCTCGAAAGAAGCTAGAGGTCATAGTTTGCCCCAGCCGTGAGGACACAGTGGGTGGTGTTACCTAAGGGAAGGAAAGACTAAGGCAAGGGCCTGCCAAACAAAAGTATACAATCATCTCTGAGTGCATAGGAAGGAGAAGAAAGACCAGGTCAATTGACCATTCTTTCTTCTCCTTCTCGCCTCTATCTCCCTACCTGTCTCTTTCCCAAATCCATGACTTTGGTTTGGTTTTGTCATGCATTTAGATTAGCCAGAGTCATTTGTCTGATCGGTGGATGGGAACTACCCACTGGAGCCTGGGAGCAGGGGTAGGGGCGGGGGAGCTCACCAGTGGGTCCTCAATTGAAGGCAGTGACTCTCCCCCTTTCCCTGGTTCTGTCAGTAGGAAAGAGTTCTAAATAAATATTAAAAGAATTAAAATAAAAAATAAACAACTGTGGTAGATCCCTTGGATCCCTTGGATCCCTTGTCTCACATGTGTGATGCTCCTCCTCCCAAAAAGTTCTGGTCACTGGGCAAATCTGCACAAGTTAATCTTGTCCAACTGTGTGCATAAGATGTCGGGCTTCCTACTTTACCTTAGGATGGTATTTGTCGCTGATCTTTTGTGGTTAAGGAATTCTAAACTTATTTTCTTGGTGTACCAAGGGACTAACGGCATGCACCATCTTTTCTCTTGCTGTTTTCCAGTTCTGCACATACCATCCTCTCTACAGGAAAAAGCACCTGCCCAGTACAAAAGATACTCTGCAGCTCCAATAACTAGCCCAGGTTCCAACATCAAACCTACCCTTCCTCCAATCCCACACGGCCGCAGATAAACCGACGCTGTGAGCTCGGATCTCCACACATAAACCGGCACCATTGGCGTCTGATCTAAACATGAACAGTGGGAACCTTGTTCTAACGAAGTCCAGTCCTTCCATCTTATTCAGCTATGGCTCTCAGCCGTTTCTCATGCAACCAACTCATGACCCAAAAAAGATTCTAAATCCCTCAATCAATTTATATTGTGATTCTCTGAAAAGCATACTTTATTTATTTTTTGTTTGCAATATTAGCTATTCTTAACTTTTAAAAATGTCATTTGAAGTTTTCTTTTCCCACAACTGATTTTCCCAGCCACTTCCTGTTTTGAGATCTAAGATACCAAAATCTCCCAACATATTTCATTTTATGCACAGCATGACCTTTGGGTATATTCAACTAGGATTGTATGATTCAGATTTTCAGCATTATGACGACGTACTCAAGATATTAAGGTTTTTAAATTCTAATTATGAAAACATGATAGAGCACCATTTAACATGTAGTCAACATGGTATCAGTTGCATCTCTCAAAGAGAATGAATCAGTATAATTTGGGGAGCTTGTTAGTACCACTAAGGAATAAAAAAATATCTTAATTCTTTTAGTTCACCTTTTCTAGACCAATTATGTACTGCTTGTTATTAGAAATATTTTCAAACAACTTTCATTATCCTTGTGATTTCACTCCATGGTTGGCAGGAAAATAATACTGAGTACTTGAAGCGGGTCCTCAGTTAATGTGTGCCCATAAGGCTATCTTCACGACGAAAATGTCAGAACATATCCTTCTGGATTGGTGAGTGGAACCAAGACCCTCTGCACAATACTACTGCTATTGTTGACTCTGTTGACTATTTTTTATTACCTAATGGCATCCCCATCTTAAAACATTAGCCCTGCCAATAACCTTTTCTCCATAACAAAAATGCCACTCCAACACGATCTACTATTGGTTCCTTTCTTCCATCTACTTTAATTTACTACAAATTGGAGCAGATTGGACTTTGTGTTAGTTAGCTCTCTGCCCTGTGACAAGACACCTAAGATAAACAGTGTAGAGGAGGAAGGATTGACTTTGGTTTCCAGTTTATACCATGGGTCTCTGGTTCCATTGTTTTGGGTCTGAGACAGACAGACTTCTGTTTCTGCAGGAGCTTGAGGTGAAGAAAGTTGCTTACCTCAAGGTCACCAGCAAGCAGAGAGAAAAAGGAAGGACCCAGGGACAGGATGGAGTCTTCAAGAGTATTCCAAGGACCTGGTCCTTTCTACTAGGTCTCACCTACAAAGTATCTACCATTTTCTGATAGCCTATCAAACTGCCAACCCATGGGTGAGATCAGAACCCAGCAAGGTCTTGTTGAAAGCCAGCAATGACCTTTCTCCACATGTGGGACCAGCTGGAACCAGCATGTGGGAAGCAGTCATCCTCACCTCCTCCAGGGTGATGCTGAGGTACTTGAGGGGATCTACCTCTTCCTGGGGTGCTGGAAAGATGTTACACATTGTTTAAAAAAAAATCACTGTTGCCAGGTGGTGGTGGCACATGTCTTTAATCCCCCCCACCAGCACTCCAGAGGCAGAGGCAGAGGCAGGGGGATCTCTGTGAGCTTGAGGCCAGCCTGGTCTACAAAGTTCCAGGACAGCCAGAGCTGTTATACAGAGAAACCCCGTTTCGAAAAACAAAACAAAACTAACAAAAAGAATCACTGTCAGTGCTAACAGTAACATCCATAGGTTCATGTTATAAGCACCCCTAATGCTCATCTTACTGTAATTAAAGATATTGATGGGGGAGGGGCTATTTCACTTCATAATTGGCAACTTAGCAACTTGCCAGCCTTGAACAAAAAGACTATCCGTACATGGACACCTTGAGGAAACTACACAATAATCACAGCTGCTTGCCCTGCCTCTTCAAAGTGTATCCCCGGTCAGCACTCTTTCAGTTAGTCCTGGACTTCTGGCTATTGCAGAACTTGATGATGTTCTAACTATTTTCATCTAGGCCAAGGGAGAGTACTTCCTGTCTGACAGCATCCATTTATTCACAGAGGCAGAACTGTGTCCATCTCATCCTGTGCCAATTGGCTCCACCTCCTAGTACGATTATAGCATGTGGTAAGATTACCTCATGCCACAGGTTAAACCCTGACGTGAAGAAAACTTAATCTTATTCGCCAGTCCATTCGGAACAATCGCAGCCCATCTAAGATTGCTCCCTCTCTAGCTTTTCTTTTTAGATCAAAGCCAGCTTCCAGGAAGCCACAGTTGTTCAAAACATAAGGAGGTGTCAGCTGGCTAGTGGAAGAACTCACATTTGAATATATCCTGTTTGTCAGAGTCCTACCATTTCTACCATTCCAGGTCAATTGTATCAACCCTCCTTTTAAGGTAACTTTAGCTCATAAATGTACGTAAGAAGCCATATACTTCCTGCCCTGGGGTCAGTCTCAGCATGATCTGCTTTGGCGTCCACATAATCACCTTTCCTTGACGAGGTCCCACCAAATGGAAGCATCGGTTGTGTGGTGATCCTGCTGCCTGACAGAGCTATAGGTGAGAACCCAGCCTATGAATGCCCCCAATTCTCCATGCCCCACTCAGATGGGCTGTCTCTGCCCCTGAAGCTATCTATGCCTCTTGTCCCCTCTGTGGTGCTAAACTTAATCTGTGTATTAGATTTTCCATAACATGAAAATCATCAATTCCAAGACTCTATCTCAAGCCAATTAAATAAAAGCTCGGGTATCTCATTTGTTAAGTCTCCAGAACGAATCCCGTCTGCAGCCAGGTTGGGAGTCATTTCTCCAGAGTTTAGAGGGGACTTTCTAGCATGACCTTATCAGAACTATAAGATATTTTTGCCTTCAGTAATTTATGAGTGGTCCTCTCACCACACAACCTAATTATTTTGTCATAATTGTCATGACATTTGAAAATATGTTCTCTTCCCGAGTAGGCTTCTATTCTTTGTAAACGGGTGTGAATATTTGCCTGCATGTATGTCTGAGCCCCATGTGAATGCGGTACCTGCAGAGACCTCTGGGGCTGGAGTTACAGATGGTTGTGAACCAGTATGTGCGTGCAAGGAACTGAAGTCAGGTTCTCTGGAGGAGCAGCCAGTGTCGCTGTGCACTGAGCCATCTCTCCAGCCCCTAGGGTTACTATTTTTATATACTTTATTTTACTTTTACTGTTTAGTCAACCTTCTGGTCACATCCTTGTTCTTTCTATTCTAAGCTATTAGAGTTTTCTCCTACAGTTTTCATGAACTAGTCTATTACATATTAATTCTGTAGTTCTTATTTGTTATACCCACCCATCCATTTGTTATACTAATCCACTGCTGTTAGGGCGTATTTACTTTAAGTAGGCTTTTATGTCTGTTTTCTTATGTGGTATTTGCTTTGGTCTATTCATGAATTCTGGCTTCTGAAAGCAATATTCAGTGTTCAAGAAGGCTTTCTGTGGTACACTGTATAGAGATGTCTGTGTTGTTCATACAATAGCCATTTGCTTGGAATGTGACTTAATGTGTAATTACTTTAAATGTAACTAACTACTGTAGGAGATTGATGGCTGTCATGTTGAAAAGCCTAACACTGGAAAATTCCTCAAGATTTTACTCTTTGGGTTCCTATAGCTACTTTCAGAATTTTTTAGGGAGGTAGATTATGAGTAAATAAAACTACCTTTAAAAATAGCATACATTTTAAAATCTTTATCAATTTTATGTGCTATTTCCTTAAAGATTTGAAAAACCATCAGTGGATTTTTTTTAAAAAATTTAGTATGCAAAATGTTTCTATTTCTACTAATTAAGTTTTGTTAATTGTGCTATTTAAATTGCCAGACACATCCTTTTTTTATCAATTTGCTCCAGAATGCATAATAGCAGTATTTAGTGCCATGATATAATTATGTTTCTGTCCCTTTCTTATGTATCAAATAGTTTTTGTTCTATCAATTTTGATGTTATGTTAATTAGCCCATAGATGCCCAGCGCCATTGTTAAGAGCGCCCAGATTTCATCTGGTCTTAGTATCAAAGGGCCCCTTTGTTCCCCATTCTATTCTAGTGGACGGTTCTGCTTTGAACTTCCCTTTGGTGACAGCACCACCGTGCTCCCCTTCCCTTGCTCCACTCACCTCGCCTTTTAATCAAAGTCTTTGATTGCAGTCTCATTTTGGTCTGGCTGTGTTTCTTTAGCCAAATACAAGTCTGACTTTTACTTCAATTATGGAACAATGCTGGTTTTTTTAAATTTAGTTTTACTATAAATTCAGTCCCGTTTCTATCATACTGCTGTATATTTTCAGATGGGTTTGAGACTGCTGGGGCCGCATCTTTGTTGTTGGTGCTGTGTTTGCTTCCTTCCATCTCAGTGATGGGTCTGTCTTTTGTTGCCCACGTTGGTCCTTTCATCGTGTAAATTAAAACCTCTTTATTTCTTCTTCACAGTCCTAAAATTATCCGGTTCATTGAGAGTTATAGGCTCTGTATGGCATGGTGGCGTGTGCCTATAATCTTTTCGATTGGGAAGCTGAGAAAGGATGATTATGGAGTTGAGGCTAACCTAGGCTATGTGACAACTTCAAGGCCAGTTTACATCACACAAAAAGATCTTGTCTCAAAATAAAACAAACAAACAAAACCCAAGAGCTGGGGATGTAGTTAAGTAGTAGCATACTTGTTTATCACATACAAGGCATTGGGTTTGATTCATGATAGGAAAAAAAAGTCTTATAGATTCACTGTTTTTCCCAAATAAGCCTTTAAAACCCGTTTTTATATTAATAGTTCATTAAACCTGAAAATTTTGAGGACAAAACCCAAATCCACGATAATCCAATTGAAGCAAGCTTTATTTGGACGTGCACCTGGGCCTGGCCAGTCCGGCTGCCTCTCCCTAAGTCAGGATTTCAGGAAGCAGCCCCTGCTGGCCCCTTGAAATCCTTTCTAAAAGTGAGGTAAGATGCACATAGGGGCAAGAGTGGGCTGTTATACATTGTTAGAAGAACACAATGGAAGGGAAGGAACAAGAGTAAGGATGTGCACAGTGTGAATGGGGCCGCACG